GTAAATCCAAGTGAAACATCGTTAACCAAAAATAATCGCGAAAACGTTCGAAAAAAGTGCTAAAAGTTGCGATAAAAAGTTTAAACGAAACTCCAACCGTCTCAGACCTCTCTAACCATGTAGAGGAACTGAGAATACAGAGACGTATGCAAAGACGACCGAGCGAAACGTGGCTCATTTCTCGTGAGCGATTTTTCAATGAGCGGTCGTCCGCGGGGCGCAGCGTCCCGAACGCGGAAACAGGCATAAAAGATCGCCGGTGTCGGGTTCGCGGGCCTCTCTCGTCCATGCATAAAACGGCGTCTTAATGGGATAAGAGTGGGACAACGCAGCGCACCGGAAGTCGGGGCGCGTTCGGCCGGCGCGTCGATACAAGTGGATTTCCCAGCGTTCACCATAGGCGGGGCGCGCATAGTATCGCGCCGGTGTGCGCCGCGCCGCGCCGTGCGTTTATTCTCGGCTGTTATCAAGCCGAGCCCCTCTCGCACGAGGAACGGCGTGACAGCTGTCGCGGGTTCGAACGGCCACGGGATCCCTCAGAAAACTGCCTATCACTCTCCTCTATTGTATGCAAGTCACCGGAGCGTATTTCTCGGTCCCGGTGTTCTTGCACGACTCGCCGATGAAGAGCGGCGAGAGAGGCGGAAACCGGAGTATGAGAGCTCAGACCCTAAGCAAAGACTTTCAATCGCCGGCCCTCAGACAGGCTTTGCTGCCTGAAACGCGGCACGCGGGACATCGGGCCGCGTTTCAACGCCGGCGAAAAATCGTTTGACAAATCGTCGATCCTTTTTTTCCGACGTTATTTGCGGTGCTGGAGGCGTTACAGCTTTTCTTGGCGGCTTCAATAGGCAGGTTTTGCGGTTGTTAAATAATTACTTTTGTTGCCTTCTATTTTACTTATCTTCACTTTATTTATCCTGATTTTAGTTATTTTAATTTTATTTATTTCCATTTTGTTTAGTCTTATTTTATTTACCTTCATTTTATTCATCTATATTTTATTTATCTTTATTTCGTTTGTTTTCATTTTATTCATTTATATTTTATTTATCTTCATTTTATTCATCTATATTTTATTTATCTTCATTTTATTCATCTATACTTTATTTATCTTCATTTTATTTATCATTATTCTATTTATTTTCATTTTATTAATGTACATTTTATTTACTTCTATTTTATTGATTTTAATTTTATTTACTTTTATTTTATTTATCTTCACTTTATTTTGCTTCATTTTATTCGTGTACATTTTATTTATATTCATTTTATTTACTCTATTTTATTTATTTTAATTTTATTTCCATTTTATTTACTTTTATTTTATTGATTTTCATTTTATGAATTTTGTTCATTCTTGTGTCATTCCCTCACACTTTATCTTCATAATTCATTTGATTCACTCGACTGCATCGAGCTAATTTGCTGTAAAGAAACTGGTAGCAACTGGCAGTTGGTCAGCGAAACGTTTTATCAAATCCACGAGCAGTCGTAAACGTTCTGTTACGAGAACGTATAAAGATAACCGTCGATATTTGTCACGAGACGCCGGCTATTCAATCGCGATACATAAACGTAATCTCGCCGTAAACTACCGAATGTCTCCGACAGTTCTGAAAGCTCGGGCAGAGAATTGAGATTGCTTCCCCGCGAAATGAGCCGAGTGCCAGCACGAATTATGAAATTCGAACAGGTTAACGAAACGGCTCGAAAGATATCGATTATGGGAGAGCCGGACGAAACTGCGTCAAAGTACCGCTGATTCATGCTACGTCGTTCTCAATTAACGTCTATCGTTAACCCATTTCGCGGTTTGAACGTTCTCGGATGATCGACGACTACGTTCCTTAACGAGGCAACCGCACTTTTCGCTTAATTAATAAGTCTTTAAATTTCAGCCGGTTGGCCGTTTTGGCGACGTTTCACGGTCGAAAGTAGCGATTAAGAGGCTGCAGAACTTCGGGAGAAAATTGATTTTTCTTGTACAGGGTGCGTTTACCCTAATCTGACGAAAGTATGTTTGGTGTAAGAGTTAACAAGTACTTTGAGGAGAACAAGGAGCGATAATAAGAAGAAAGTCACCTTGACTTTTTTAAATAGCACCATGTAAGATTTACCATATAAGATACCACTTTATCAGAATATATTTTATTTTTATTTTATTTATCTTGATTTTATTTATTTTCATTTAATTCGTCTACATTTTATTTATTCTCATTTTATTTATCTTCATTTTATTCATCTACATTTTATTTATTCTCATTTTATTTATCTTGATCTTATTTGTTTTCATTTCATTTATCTTCATTTTATTCATCTACATTTTATTTATTCTCATTTTATTTATCTTGATCTTATTTGTTTTCATTTCATTTATCTTCATTTTATTCATCTACATTTTATTTATTCTCATTTTATTTATCTTNTCTTCATTTTATTCACCTTCATTTTATTTATCTTCATTTTATTCACCTTCATTTTATTTATCTTCATTTTATTCACCTTCATTTTATTTATCTTCATTTTATTCACCTTCATTTTATTTATCTTCATTTTATTCACCTTCATTTTATTTATCTTCATTTTATTCACCTTCATTTTATTTATCTTCATTTTATTCACCTTCATTTTATTTATCTTCATTTTATTCACCTTCATTTTATTTATCTTCATTTTATTCACCTTCATTTTATTTATCTTCATTTTATTCACCTTCATTTTATTTATCTTCATTTTATTCACCTTCATTTTATTTATCTTCATTTTATTCACCTTCATTTTATTTATCTTCATTTTATTCACCTTCATTTTATTTATCTTCATTTTATTCACCTTCATTTTATTTATCTTCATTTTATTCACCTTCATTTTATTTATCTTCATTTTATTCACCTTCATTTTATTTATCTTCATTTTATTCACCTTCATTTTATTTATCTTCATTTTATTCACCTTCATTTTATTTATCTTCATTTTATTCACCTTCATTTTATTTATCTTCATTTTATTCACCTTCATTTTATTTATCTTCATTTTATTCACCTTCATTTTATTTATCTTCATTTTATTCACCTTCATTTTATTTATCTTCATTTTATTCACCTTCATTTTATTTATCTTCATTTTATTCACCTTCATTTTATTTATCTTCATTTTATTCACCTTCATTTTATTTATCTTCATTTTATTCACCTTCATTTTATTTATCTTCATTTTATTCACCTTCATTTTATTTATCTTCATTTTATTCACCTTCATTTTATTTATCTTCATTTTATTCACCTTCATTTTATTTATCTTCATTTTATTCACCTTCATTTTATTTATCTTCATTTTATTCACCTTCATTTTATTTATCTTCATTTTATTCACCTTCATTTTATTTATCTTCATTTTATTCACCTTCATTTTATTTATCTTCATTTTATTCACCTTCATTTTATTTATCTTCATTTTATTTACCTTTATTTTATTTATCTTCATTTTATTCACCTTCATTTTATTTATCTTCATTTTATTCACCTTCATTTTATTTATCTTCATTTTATTCACCTTTTCATTTTAGTTACTTCTATTTTATTTATTTTTATTTTATTTACCTTCATTTTATACATCCATATTTTCATTATTTTAGTTTTATTTATCTTCATTTTATTTATTTTCATTTTATTTATCTTCTTTTTACTTATTTTTATTTGATTTACCTTCATTTCATTTATTTTCATTTGCTTTATTTTCCTTTTAATTATCTTCATTTGATCTATTTTCATTTGTGTTCATTTTATTTATTTCTATTTTATTTACTTACACTACATTCATTAATAGAAATATTAATATTAATGTCAATAGAAAGGAAAATGGTCGACACCTCCGATCCGGCATGGCAAGTTGCACACGTAGGCTGGCCAGCGTCGTTACAAATGAGTAGCTAAGTTCGTTGTTGTGGCTAATTAATGGAGTCAGACGGCGTAACGGAGCGTTAATCTATGGCGCAATAAACGCGAAGTTGCCGGGGACGAAAAAATCCAATCAAAATGCATTAATAACAGAAGAAATTAATGCGTTTCTCGGCGCAGTGCACGCTGCGCCGCGATCCCTGATATTGCGTGCATATGCACACGGCCGAACCGTAACGTTGCCCGTACCCGTACTGCTCGTAAATGGACTAATTACTCGCAATTACGCAACGACCGAGTCCGCCGCACGGGTTTCTTCTCCGTCATTAGTTCTTCGTATTCCCAGCGAATTACATAACTAATATTCCGTGCTCGATAGGCGTCGAAACGTTAAAACGAACGATTTAGATACGCTATGGCGCACTGACTTTTCTTCTTCGCATGAACTGAATCTTCGTGCAATTATTAACACCGTCAACAGATCGTAATTAGAGCTTCTCTGAACACTGCCGAAACGTGTCTTCACGGAGGAACATTGTTGCGAATCGGTAACCGATTGTTTCAATGCAACATTGTCGTAGAAGCTGTGGAAAGTTTTGTGAACACGATGTGCTATTTTTAAAGTGAACTCGGAAATCTGTAATGTGCGAGATGAGTCCATAAAATGTTGCAAATCAATTGATGCAATATTGTTGTAAAAGTTGTGAAAAGTTTTATGAAAACGTTGTGCACATTTTAAAGTAAACTTAGGAAAGTTATAATGTGCAAGTTAACCCCATAAAATGTTGCAAATCAATTGTTCCAATGCAACATTGTTTTAAAAATGTGCGTAATGGAAGTTCTGTGATAATTAGTTGCTTTCTTTTCTAAAAGAAACTTGAGAGAGCTGTGAATTGCAAAGATGCAGACAGTAGATCAATTATTTAAAAACTCAACATTGTTGTAGAATCAGTAGAATCTGTAGAAAGTTGTGTGGAAACTCGTTGTTCTGTTTGAAATAAATTTGAAAAAGCTGTGGTATATAAATTGCCCAGGGAAATGTTGCAATTAAACTGTCAATTGTATCAATGCAACATTGTTCAAAGATATGTATAGTGGAAGTTCTGTAAAAATAAGTTGTTTATTTCCAAAAAAACCTCGAGCAAGCTACGAGATGTGAACTGTCCAGGCAAATGTTGCAAATATATGGTGAACTATTTCAATGCAACATTGTTAGAAAAATTTAAGTAGAGACAGTTGCGTGAAAAAATATTGTTTCACAAAAAGCGCTAAATTAATATTACAGTCGAACAACTGTTAGATCGCCTTGCCCACTTCAGCGTCCTGAATTTGACCCACTAATTCCCGCCGTAATTGCACCGGTTTTCAGGTTAGGTTCGCGTCGCGTCTAGGTTACTTTTAGGTTTGTTCTACAGTTTCCCACGGTTATCCTAAGAAACTGAAGCAGATCTGGATCCCTGCGAAGAAAAAAAGTTGTTCAAAACTTCAAGAAAAGCAGGTCGAACAGAACCAATCGCAAAAAATTAACAATCAATAAAAATCACCTTATTTCCGCGGAAACCATCAGAAATCCGAACGCACGGCCGGCGAACTCTTGGTTGCTTCCCCGCTGCGCCGTTGCGCCAGAATAATCGAATTCTTGGCGCGATTACGCCAGGAATCCGGTATTCATCGCGACGCTAATGGCGCGTCGTTGATAAATCGTGGCCGCGGTTAATTGAAGCCTCCGATGCGCGCGTAACACACGGCCGTCCCCGCTGTTATATTTTATTAAACCGCGATACGGGCGTAAATAATTAATGGCGCGTAATGACCGCGATTAAATTGAATCGCGCGTTCGCGAGATATTACATCGCCGCGGCATTTCTTACCCGGCTAACGAGTGTTGTTATTTACAAGACGAGGGGCGGAGGGAGGGGGGAGGGAGAGCCCCGTTCCGCGAGAGCGTACACCGCGGGAGTAGCCGGTGGGCGCATTAGGCGGACGTCACGCTGAGTCAACACCGCTAGGAACTTCGAGAGTTCCATTCTCCTCCTTTTCCCGCGCGCGCTCGTCCACGCTCTCGCCTCTTTTTTCTCATCGCCGTCGGGTTGTCAGTTCGTTTCTTATTATAACCGACACGCATCGCGCCGCCGCAAACGAGCTGCAAGATGGATCTAACGTCCGATTCCGCTGCTACTCGGTTTCGGTGTCCCGCTTCCTGCAACGCTCGCGACGAGCGCTGACCACGAGAAAGAAGGAGAGAGGGCGTGCGCGTCGTATTATCGTCGTCTCCAACGCCAAATAGAAAGCGAATACAAATGTGCGAAAACTCGACCAATTTATTAAACTAAATTTATGGGCTAAGACTGGATTTACACTTTCTATGATTTATATTATAAATATATAAATATATAATATAATATAATAAATAATATATTTATATCGATAAAGTACCTAAAAATTTCTCCAGGAACTATGTTTGTGACGCCAGGAACCGTGGAAAAGAAAATCAGAATCCAGTCATTTCGATTAACTTGACAGTTCTGGTGACAATGGCGTCGATACAGTGAAAGCAATTAGTTACTTGCTTTCGTTAGGGTTTGTTAAATTCTCCCTATAATCGATGCTCAGCTTACAGCTGATTGTTCTAACAATTTAATAATTTGATACAACGTTCGCCCGGTAGACGCGCCGCCTGCGCGTGTCGCCCGGCGCATGCGTCGCCTCTACCCCCACTCCTCGCGCGATTCATATACCTGCGCGCGCCGAATTCACGCGCGAGACATTCCGTGACTGACCGGTGTCGCACGAATTTCTGTTACAGGCGAGAAACCGTACCAGTGCACATGGGAGGGCTGCACGTGGAAGTTCGCGCGTTCCGACGAGCTAACGCGGCATTATCGCAAGCACACGGGCCAGAAGCCGTTCAAGTGCCATCTTTGTCAGCGATCGTTCTCGCGGAGCGACCATTTGTCGCTTCACATGAAGAGGCACTGATGAAGAGGAGCATTCTTAGCCGGCCAGTTTCGAGGATCCGGAGGGGAGGGAAGAGGTGCCGGCAACGGCTGACAGATGGCGTGCGAACGGGTGGAACGGGGACGAGAAGGAATCGCGGACCGTGTGTCCGAATGAATCGGGGAATCGGGACTGGGAATCGCGATCGGATAAAATGATTCTTCTCTCTCTTCTTTTCTTTTCCTTTTTTTTTCTTTTTTTTTTAATATATATATACACACACATATACATATATATTAAATATATTCGGGACCTGAACAAAGCCTCGTCACGCGACCACATGTGTCCGGGGAGGCGGAAACTAGGAGAGAAAAAATGAAGAAGGAGGGAAACACGTTCATTAGACTTACGGAGCTTCGTGCGGTGTAGCATCGGTGTAATTTAAACGGCGGGGCGGACGAACCTGTTCAGCGATCCTCGCCGCCACCGGCCGGTCCCCGATCGTACCGATCGGAGTACGTATATATACCCCTTAGGCGTCCTCGAATTCGCATCTGTTGAGCAGAGAGAAATTTGGAAATTCGCTCGCGCCGCGAGAGCCCACTTATTTATTGCGACGATCGGGGCCGGCGGACGCGAGGAGAGTGCCGATCGCTGCGGGTTTCCAGCGGGATCAACGCGCGGCCCATGGACGCGTCCGACATCTCGTTCTCTATTTCTAGCCAATTTTCCAGTTTGTTTTCCTCTCGTCTTTCTTGTCTTTTCGCGACTCTTCGATCCTTATCTCTCTTTCTGTCTTTCTTTCTTTTCATTTTTTTTTCTCTTTTTTTGTAACGTACGATTTTACATAAGGCCAGCTCAACTAGTCTAGAGCACCATGTATCGTCTATGAGGAATAGAGCCAGTAACTTTGGGGAGCCGGTGAAATAGGAGGGGGCGACGGTGGGAGGAAGCAGTGGGAGGAGAAAGAGGAGGAGGAGGGGGAGTAGGAGGCAGAGGAGTAGGAGGAGTAAACGTATCGTTAAGGGTAATTAAACGATTAATTAAGTAAAGAGAATTATTCGAACTCCGGTGACGGAGCTTGGGACTTAGCATGCTCAGTTAAATAAACTACAACCGTGATCACATCGTAAATACATTACATTACATACGATACAATACGTTTTCGTAACGCGTTGGATAGTGAACGCTCTTCGAGTTAATGCACAAAAAGAATTTCGCGTTTAGGGACGGACAATCATTTGCGAAACAGCAACGTGTTCCCCGTTGTCGAACGGGACTGAAGGGGATACGACGAGAAGCTCTCGAAGCCAGTATTACCGTGTGCGTTCGGCGACTAGAATCCGCGGCGGTTAATCGGCAGCGGTTATCGCACACCGATGCTTTCGATCTTCCGGTTCCATGTGATCGTCTACCCGATCCGGAAAACGGGACGTTCTTCGTGCGCTGTACGCGTCCACGCAAGGTGCCAAAGTAGAAGGTGCGAATCTGCGGTGATCGATAGATCGTCGACGTGTTCCGATCAAACGTGGACGCAACCGGTCGAAGGACGACTCGTCGGACCAGCCCTCTTCGGGATCGATGGGATCGACAGATCGCTAGATCCGTAGATCGCGAAATCGGTAGATCGCGAGATCGGTAGACGACAAGGTCAATAGATTCATAGATCACAAGATCGATAGATCGCAAAATCTATAGATCGCGAGATCTATAGATCACAAAATCTGTAGATCACAAGATCTATAGATCGCAAAATCTGTAGATCACAAGATCTATAGATCGCAAGATCTATAAATCACAAGATCCATAGATCACAAAATCTATAGATCACAAGGTCGACAGATTCCGTGATCGATAGATCGCAAGATCGATAGATAGTGTGATAGATAGTTCACGAGATCGCGAAATCGGTAGATCACACAATCAGCAGATCGCGAGATCGATAGATCCCGAGTTCGGCAGATTGCAGGATCTATAGATCACGAGATCAATAGATCCATAGATCGCAGGATCGACAGATTCTGGAATCCGTAGATCACAGGAACAACAGATTCTGAAATCCGGAGATCACAAGATCGATAGATCGTGTGATCGATAGATTGTAAGATAGGTTGATCAGACGATCGCACGATCGGCAGATCACGAGTTCGGCAGATTGCAGAATCCGTGGATCATAAGATCGAGAGATCCATAGATTACAAGATCTACAGATTCTGGGATCCATGGATCACAAGAACGGTAGATCGTGACTTCGTAGATCCGCGATCGCGGATCCGGTAGATCGCGATTTTACTTTAGGTTGCGGGACCGGTAGATCGAGAGATCCATTCAATATCGTGAGACGCGCGGTAGCAAGATCATTCGCGATTTGCGGGATCGGGGGGTCGCTGGATCGTTCGCGATCGCGAAATCGGAAGATCGGGTGTGGTGGTCGTTCGCGATCCACGGTAGACGTTTCGTCGATTACGCGCGCGTTTCCGTCGTTGTACATAGAAAGTCGCATCAGGGTCCGACACCGGTGACGTGTCCCGTCGGTCGTTCAATTATCGTCAATCTAGATGAAAGTAACAGTTTAAGGCACGGGATTCTATATCGAAACATATCGAAGCCGCGCGAGTTCGAAGCGAGACGAGTGCGAGGCCGCGCGACGCGCTCCTCGATGCAGACGACCCTTGGATTGGTGCAACGAGCTCGCTACGAAATCTTCGACCACGATGTTTGGAAATAACGAGCTTGCATTCGCTAAGGAAAATCGTTGGAGCTTAGATTATTTCGTGGTTTTTAGGGAATTAAGTAAAACGGGGGGATGGTTTGGAAAGGGTTTGCTTGCAACATTGTTCATAAAATTCTGCGGCGACACGTTTTAGGAAGATAGCAGCAAGCTGTCTACGAAAACGTTGCAAACGGAACGTTGTTTTAAAACATTTCTGCAATGTCTACGGCGACAAGTTGCTTTCTCTGCAAGAGACGTGGAAGAGCCGCGAGCTACGAATCAGCTAGGCAAATGTTGCAACAGAATGGGTAACTGTTCCGATGTAACGCTGTTTCAAAATCTGTACAAAGTTACGTAAAAACAAGTTGTTCCGAAAAGGAAACGCGCGAAAGAGCTGTGAAACGCGAATTAATTGCGCGTACGTTGCAAAGGGAACGGACGAACGAGCCGCGCCAATTTTATATTTTATTTCTTGTTGTTGTTGTCTTTTGAACAAATTCTATGATTAATATATTAGATCAGAGGTTATTGAAAAGTTGCAGAGAGACTCTTTCGATCCGAGACTTTGCTCGAGCAAAAATTTGTCGAGGTGCTGTACTCGAGCGCCAAGCCGAGAAAGACAAAGTTTTCGTGGATGTACGTTCGACGATCATCGATTGCTCTTACTTGAAAATTTGCCAAATTGTTCGGAATCGTTCGCGACGATTCGGCTCGTTGAACCAATCCGGCGGCGAACACGTGCGAAGATGGTCGTTCGAGGTTATGTCGAGGCCGCGAATTCTTCGAAAGGGAGCCCTCGGTAGAGTGGACTGTGCCAAATAGGAGCGAGCGAGCGGCTCATCCTGCTTGCCTTGAATCGTCGATTCCACCCAGCGCAACGGTAGAGCCTCTAGAATCCCGTGGATTCGCGAAAACTGTAGGGAAACGATTCTGCATCGGCGAGACGTCGCCGCGAATCCTCGATCGGTACACAACAATTAAAGTCCCAATTAAACATCGCACAATCCCGAAACGGCTCGTCGGAGTTGCCCGCAACACGTCGACGGGATAATTCGCTTCGCCGATCACAACCGCTGCGATGTTCAATTAGCACAAATGGCCGCGTTGTAAATAACATGACGGGGGAGAAGCTCGTGGTTCGTCCACTGGCGGCGCTGGTGTCGCTTCGAGCCCGCGCGAATTGGGCGCAGGGTCTAGGAAAAAAAAGAAGAAGAAAAACAAGTGTAACACGGTGGGCGAAGAGCAGACACACGCCGATTTCGGAGCTATAGCTAAACGCGATGGAACGAGATGCCAGTAAATACATATGCTAGAAGCTAGGAGGCGGCGGAGTTAAGAGATTGCCAGTATATGCTAGAGCTAAAAGGCGGCGGAACAAGATGCCAGTATATGCTAGAGCCAGTTTATATCATTAAAGAGAACACACACCTCTACCTTGTAAGATTACTGCGAAGATTGATAAATGACTATTTGTTACGTGTTGTATTTTTCATAGGGAATAGTGCCTTCTAACGTTAAGAGGAAGAGGAACGCTGCGTTAGGCCTTAAGTATACTGCTAGTGCCTTAAGTCACGCGAATCTTCGTGCTTGCGCACGGTTTCAGAACACACAATCGGCCCCCACGGCCGGGCCGTTTCAAATAATACACGCGAAACGCGCGCGCAAATGTACGCCGCATACACAACCGTCGATGTACAAACACGATACACCGTTGGTTCGAGCACATTTATACAGACGAGACACATCAACACATTCAATACACAGTCGTACACGGGACATACTAGTTCAAACGCAGTCGTACACGAGGCATATACAGGCACAAACACAAGACCACGCATGTACAAGCACAGCTATACACGTGCTTTCGACAGTAATACACGTTCTTATACACGTTTAAACACACATCCTATACACAGCCGTGTACGTCCATAGACAACGCAAACCGGCGCAAACGCAGGACCCACGTGTGCAGACGCGTCCATACACAAAGATGACGTGTACATACACGGTCATACGTAAGAATACAGGTACAATCACAGCATTTAGACACCCGCAGACAAGACGTACAGTTGCAGACGGTAGACGTAACACGAGCAAACACGGTCATACACGTTCAAATACAAATCATACACGTGCAAACACGGTTCTACATGTTCATCCATAAATCGTACGTGTACAAACACAATCATGCGTGTCCAGACGCAAAGCACACAGGTGCAAAAACACGGTCAAACAGATTCAAACACAGTGAAACAGTTTAAACAGCGTCAAACAAATTCAAACACGGTCAAACAAATTCAAACATGGACAAACAAATTCAAAAAGCGTCAAATAGGTTCAAACGGTGTCAAATAAATTCAAACATGGTCAAACAGATTCAAACATGGTCAAACAGATTCAAACAGTGTCAAACAAATTCAAACGTGGACAAACAGATTCAAATATGCTCAAACAGATTTAAATATGGTCAAACAGATTCAAACAGCGTCAAACACGATTAAACAGATTCAAACACATTCAAACATGGTCGAACACATTCAAACACGGTCAAACACATTCAAACACGGTCAAACACATTCAAACACGGTCAAACACA